GTGAACCATAGGGTAGATCTAATGTCTTCTGAAAATATCGTGACGTGAACGTGAACCATAAACAAAGCGGTGGGCACGATGGACAAAATTACAACTTGATGTAGTGGGATTAAACAAGGTGAGGTAAGGGAAGGTTATAGATTGTAGTGGTCAAGAGATACAACTTAAAATAATAATGGTGTTGAAATAGATTAAGGTACGTGAGTGCAATATGAAGTAACCAATTCGGTCTCAAATCAGAGGTGTTGACAATCTTGCGGATACATGTCCAGCAAGTGTGATGAGAGGAGATTAAACATTATTTTAAAGAAAAGGATGGGTCAGAGAGGTCATACATTATATTTTGAACTTTATTTTGTGCAAACCAGTTGAGAAATCAAGAGACCAGCTTTGAGTCTCATCACTAACAGTGACCTGGGGCACCACAATGATAACATAAAAAAATTAAACAAAGTACAGCAATGAAGTAGAATAATCAGAAGTGAAAATATTGCAAACATAAATACATGTTAGACATAGATTGATGTTAAACACAAATTTATGTCAAATAAAAGCTATAAATATTCAATTCCCTGCAGTGCATATAGATTGGATGGAAGTGAACGGACGATAGTGGATTACGTCACAGTGAATAATAATAATGATGATGATGACCTTGAGGCGCAAGTAAAATAAGTGGAGGGGATTGGCCCAATGTCAAGGAGACATTATCGGCAGCAGCAGTAAATTCCCTGCGGAAGACGGAAAGAAAATCTAAAGCGTGGTGAACGGATGAGGGGAAATGTAAAGAGCTGAATATAATTATTTTGTGTTCGCTTGTTTAGAGAGCATCGCTGAGTCGCAGGACTCTTCCGGGAGGGCCTTGCTTTTTGTGTTTAGTCTGTTGTCCTTGCCCCGCACCTCCGGTTAGAAGTTGTACGTACGTACGTACATACAGTAGAGGGCGATGTTGCTACTGTGCAATTCAAATTGCGTATTTTGCATGTACATTTTCAGTATTGGTATGTTTGGCCCAATACCAGTTACTTTGTATACATTATTTGGTGATGCGCTTTTCAGAAGGACTATTGCCCGAAACGACATTTATTCTAATTGTTTTCCTTTTAAGGCCATTTTGTTATTGGAAAATGTGAGTTTTTCACTTACATTGCATGGGTTGTTTTTAGCTACGGTAGGAAAGCGGAGAATCCAGAAAAAAACAATGCCACGTAGAAAGGTTTCCGAGTCAGGAATTGAACCCAGGTACATAATGCTGAGCAGCCCCTGTTCTGTGTTTATGAAAGACAGAGCAAGTATAGTCTTTGGGTCTTTCAGTAAAGTCACGTAGATATCTTTTTTTTAAATCACGACGTTTCGATCACAACGCAAGCAATCGTCTTTAGGTGAAAAAATACAGCAGGCAGACTGCTGAGGCAGGAGAAATATAGCAAGAGAACCACTGCAGCAAGAGGTTATATTGATGAGACAGAGCAGGGCTTATTTCAGAAAATGAGGAGAAGAGACACAGCTAAAGGAGTGTAGTTAATAGAAAGGGTGAGATTGAAACGCTCTGGACAATTGTAATCAATAGAACAATAGGCTGCTAAAATAACAATAGTCTGCTCTAAGAGCAAGAGACGACTAGAAGAGGAGCAAGACGTGGGAATACAAGGAAATATACTGAGGTGGGCATCCAATGAATACAATTAAGAGGATTGATAAGGAAAGCCATGGCAGATAGAGTCGAGGACGGGAGAGTGGCAGAGAAAGAGGAGAGATTGGAGGATAAACGCAATTTCGAGAAGATTTGTACATTGCCAGACCTGGAAATATGCTGGAATGGAGGCTGATGATGATGTATTTTATCTATATATATATAAAAGGGAACTTTGTGAATATGTGTGTCTGTTCAAAATGTTTAGTATACTTCCCGACATACAATAAACTTTAAATTTGCCATGTCGGTAGCTTCCAGACTGTACACAATGCAAAAAGTATAAAAATAGACTTTTGAATTTTGGGGGGGGGGGGGGGGGCGCAATAATGCATATATTTTGCACGGTAAGTGAGCTGTGACGTCACATCTCTGTCATGTCACCCGCGCATGTGGAAGCATAACGCAGTGTGTGTGCCTGCTCATGTCACGAACCCCAACCCTCTGCGGCGCGAGTAAAGTGCCATACAAATGTGTTGCAGGTTTAAGGCGTTCTTCGCGCAGCATTGCTTTATTATTTTAGTCGTTTACTACCGTACGCACCCTGAAAGTTGTGTGTCTGCAGCAAGCGCGTGTATGTGTACCTATGGACGCGCGCATGTGTGTGTTTGTGGGGGGAGCGGTAGTGTAGTGGTTAGCGCGCTGCGCTACGAACCCGGCGACCCGAGTTCGATTCCCGCTTACGGCCTCCACTGGTGACGATTATTTGAACCGGTCCTGGGCCTCACCTAGGTCGACTCAGCCTCAAACGAGTAACTGGTGTGGTGTGTGAACATCGCCACTGGGGATACAAAGGTGGCCGGGCATGGTGAATCCAAGTCCCGGGCGAAGCCGGGTAGTAAAGCTAATTTCTTTATATATGTAATAATGGCAATCCAACATTAATTCATATTATTGCTCCTTGCATTGATATCTAACACGATCACATTAAATTCAACGGGAATCTCCTTTGTAACAACATTGCAATGAATAACCCTGCCACAATGTGAATTTAATTACTGACAATACGGAAATAATTTCGTCGTTATATTTACACAAATGGCAATTGTCAGCGTTATGAATATCCCGTACAATGCATTTATATTAAACAGAGCCATAAAGATTCTGCGCGGCCCAGCGGACATAAATAAGTAATGAGATGCGCGCGTGTCTCACAACGAGCGTAAGGACAGCAGCAGATTGTCCTGTACACCCTATCTTGGGGTGGGGTGGCTCTTGTCCGCGCAGAGCCAGATTTGGGAGTGCGGTGTTCGTGAAACGGGGGGTGCGAGTGGGAGCCAGGATTCGTTCGAGAGGTTTTGCTTCCCCCAATGAAATGCGGCTCGCGAGTCTGGACCGGCATCGCGATGGATGTTACCGTCCTGTGCCTGCCAAAGCCATCGCACGCTCCTCGTCCTGGGGTGTCCGACGCTACGCGGAGTGCTCTTGCTGACGTGTGCGTTCTACACGCGTGCACAGACACAGAGACGAAGATCGTCCCATTCGGCCTTGCAGATCGCGGTGTTAGCGAGCACCAATTAAAGCCGGCATGGCACACGAAAGGGCATGGTGTAGTTAGCACCTCACCCGACTCACTAACGCAGATGTTTACACTCGTCACCAGGTTTCAGGCTGAGTTGACTTAGGGACGGTCCTAAGTGAATGAGGCTCGATGTTAAATATCTCGCCTGGTATGCAGAAGGTCGTGTCCCGACCCTGACGGCTAAATTTTTGTAGTGTGCATGTTCTCCCTATTTAGAGTAAGCTTTGTGCGAACGTTATGTTTATGGCTAATAGCGGTTTGTGTCATATTTTGTTAACTATGCATGCTGTGTAGCAGTAATATACAGGCGTCCCTTGCGCAACGTGCAACATGCGTTGCTGAAAAACAGCGCATAAGTCGAATCGCGCTGCATGAAGCACGTTTGCCCGTTGCACGTTGTAAGGGTGGTGCGTTACCGGAGACAAAATTAAGTATAGTTTCATGATTTAGCCCTTACAAAGTGTAACCGTAATACGTGACAATATTAAAATTACAAACAATACTTAATAAGGAGTTTAATAACAAATAATAATTAATATTTAAAAGATTACTACTTACAGAGATTGCTTAATAAGGAGTCGCTTCAGGGCTTCTTGAACGCTTCCGTGTGGGTTGCTTCTACTCGGATCTATGACGACTACGCCCGGCCCGTGACGCTCGGCGCTGCCATGACGCGGTGACGCCGTTGGATTGAGATTTTAGTTGGTTATCCTGCGAAACAAATATAATTAACTTTGGAAGATTATAAGTAAAAGTTTGTTTTTACTTAAAAAATGAAAAATATTCTGGTTTATTCCTGAGCGCGTAACTGTGAGAGGCATTGCGTAAGTGTGAAGTATGTCCCTAAAACATTAATCTCTTAACTGAGAATTCGCGCTATTGGGGTTGGCGGGGGGGGGGGAGCTCTTCGCGAGGGGCGCCTATAGTAAGTTGTCACACTGCACTACGATCCGAGTGACTCCGTTTCGAATTCTGGTCAAGCACAACACCGCTGGAAATTGGTATCTCAACCTGGCAACACAACGCAAAGTGCACTCATCGTGTAACTTGAATATATAGCCAGTGATGAGCTTACTTGGGGAAAGCAATCAATATCCGATTACGGATTGCACGAGGCTTTAGAAGTATTTTAATCTAATCCTATCGAGTAGAAGCACGCCCCTTGAGAGTTAGTACAAGTGTGCTTCTATTCCAAGTGGTTTGCTTGTATCAGAAGTTTTCCTTTCCTGCCACCAGTGTAATGTAATCATGTGTTTATTATATAAGACTGCACATATATAAACACATTAGGTGGTGGTCCTGTGTGGTACTGTGTGGATGGTTAATTGTCATGGAAGATGTGTGATGGTAGGATGTGTGACTTTTTACTGCACTTGATTAATCGTTTATTAGATCTGTTTGTAATAGTGTGGGGGGGGGGGGTGCTATAACCGTCATACAAATGATCGATAATGAACCAAACTTCAATGTACAATTGTGTTGCTATTAGGGACTAACCCCATTGAAAACTGACCAAAGTGATAATGCAGTCACCCAAAAACTGCATCACAAAAATATGAAAAAATAAATCAACACCTTTTGTCAATGACACGCTGTGGCCTTTAAAGGAAAAGTATATAATTGGCGATAAATGGAGGTGCATGTTAATTGTGCTTGTGCACCACTGCTAACTCGGAAACGGCATCACCAAATCGTTTGTTTAATTTGGAGGCGCAAAAAGATAGCGTCCGCCCTTGTTTCGCTTGCGTTTGTTGTTTTTGACCGTCCATCCTCGCGTGCCGCCAGGTGATCAAGACGTACCACATGTACCACGCGGAGAGCCTCAGCGCCGAGAGCAAGCTGAAGGATGCCGAGAAGCAGGAGGAGAAGCAGTTCGGCCGCACCGGCGACCCCGTCTCCTATGCCTTCCGCGCCGACGAGCGGCACCAGCGCCGCAGCTCCGTGCGCAAGATGGAAAAGATGAAGGAAAAGGTGAGCGGGGCCCCTCTGGTTGTTTCTATCTCAAGGTGGTGGCGCCGCGCCGGCGAGATGTTCACTCCCTTGCCTGGCATGCAGGAGGTCGTGGGTGCGATCTCGACCCTGACGCAGAGGTCGCAAACGGGTTTTGATTCCTTACCCGTACCCGGCCGCACCAGGGTCGCAAACGGGTACCCGTACCCGTACCCGGCTGTACCCGTACCCTACCCGTACCCAGCCGGGTACGGGTAGGGTACGGGTATCGGGTACCCGATTGCGATCTTTGGGATGAAGCCGTGTTGCAGGTGCGGGTGGGTTGATTCTAGGAACTTGAATTGTGAGAAGAGACAAGACGTTGGGAAATGAGTGACAAACGGTGACTCACCAGTGACTCACGGTCTACCCGTACCCGTACCCAGCCGCACCAGGCTCGCAAATGGGTACCCGTACCCGGCCGGGTACGGGTAGCCGGGTATCGGGTAGGGTACGGGTATCGGGTACCTGGTTACAACCTCTGCCCTGACGCCTCTTGATTATTTGGAGTATTGTGTGTTCTCTCTCCTCGTGGTCGTCTGGATTTTGCTCCTGGTCCTCCGGTTTTTCCCTCCGCATTTAGAATCAACGTCACGCGTTTAAAGTGTTTGTGGCTGCTATAAATTTCCGCGCGAGAAGCCACTTTGTCGAGCTAGTATTTGTGGAATTTTCAACCACAGGCTCTGCGCCATTGATTTAAGATGAACTCCACCCCACCACTCGTTCTTGTTAATGCCAGTGCTCGAGTGATAAATGGTAAACACGAGCGCCACTGAGGTGTCTGTCGCATCTTACGTGAACAGCGGCAGGCCAAGTACTCGGAGAACAAGCTCAAGTCCATCAAGGCACGCAACGAGTACCTGCTCACGCTGGAGGCGATCAACTGCTCGGTGCACAAGTACTACATCCACGACATCTCCGACCTTATCGACGTGAGTATTTATTTGTTGTTGTTGTTGATTGTGGTGTGCTGATCTTTAAAGGTGTAAATTTTGATTCTGCTACTGATGCTCCTGCTGTTATGGAGTGACTCATGCAGCCTGCTATGGCTGCGGGGTTTGGTCGTACATGTTATGTATATCGTTTGCTGTTGGATTTGAAGCACAGTTCCTATTATCACTGTTACATTGTTTTTGTGGCTTTATTTTGGTGATTTTGAGGACGGTTTGGTCTGGCCATGTTTGTTTGTTGTAGTACAGAGTTGGCCTGATAACTTTAATCTACATTGTCTTATGGTTGTTATTGTTTGACTTGCATCTCACTGGGATTTTTGCACACAGCATTGAAATGCGGTGTTTTTTCTGGAAGACTTTGCTGTTTTTTCCATGATTTTTCTGTTGCGTGTAGTCACTTAAGATGTTTCTTGTTCATGTTTTTGTTTTGTTGCGGTTGCACCCGAGTCAAGAGCCGCATGGATCACAGGGTTATACCTAATAAATGAAGCTGATAACTGAAAATCACGGTTGCCGGAATCACAGCATCAGAGACCCAAATTTCTGAACAAAATGGCACGATTGAATGTGCAATCGATAACAGTTGATATATTTATTGAATTGCAAGGTTGTAAGAAGCTGGATAAAGAGCCCACCATGGAATGACTGCACGGTTGATTTTATAGCCCCCCCATCACGGAAGTGTGGAACTTTCATCTCTGCGCTCTTGGGGATGGTGCATCGGGATCTATGGATCTATGGATGAAATCTGCCTTACAAGTGTAAATTATTATCATCGTGCCAATGTGATGCAGTCCAGTAATTCCTCGCTTCACCCGGTTTTCGCTTAACGAGGCACTTTTCAGGAACGCATCTACCACCGTCAAAGGATGGATCACTGTAATCCTCGTCAGGGTTAGGGTGAATGCGGTAAGAAGACAGCATTGGTCATTGCTAAGGCTGGACCAGCCCCCATCATGGGAATGAAGCACTCCCACCAACTGGCTCTGGGGATAGAACGTACAGTAGACGTTAAGCCGCCCCCGTGCTCATTTTTTTTTACGAGGAAGACACACTTGGAAGGAGAGGGGTCATCCCATAACGTTTACAAAAGTGCTTCTGTATTATTGTTATCAGATTAGGTATGGTCGTGTAGGCACATGCATGGCACGTAAGTGAAGGCTGGAGGATCCAGGAATGCTTCTCACCAGGAAGCCCAACGTCTGAATCCCCCCCTCGCCCGCCCCCCTCGCCAAGAAATACATCTCAGACAGAACATCTCATTTGCACTGCAGCCCTGTTGAGAGTACAAGGTCGTATGCCACTGCAGATAACGTGTTACAAAATGTGTATGCTTTTGTCTGCCTGCTGATGTGTTCACATTAATATTTGAAAAGTATGAAGGATGTTTTTTTTTCCTCTCCACTGATAATTCTACGAGCAGTGTTGTGTCTTCATCCGATGACGAGGCACTGCGGCAAAACGCCCAGCTCACAAGTTGCAGGGTTGTGAGTTCAATTCCCGTTTCGGGGGCAGTTTCGGCCCCGTTGTTTCTCCGGGGTCGATAACGTGAGCACTACTTGAACGCTACTTTGACCTACATAGAAGGGGCATTGCTGGAAACGTCGCCTATTGTGTTTGTTTTTTGTATACTTTTAGGGCAGTGTTATTCAACATTGTGTCGACTTTTTGCTTCATACATCCGCTCGTGCCCCCACTGTAAACGCAGTAAATATTTCGCCAATTTGTGGAAAGTCAACCGTGCTTGTTTTATATATTACCTGGTTCCCACCATGGGAATGTGGAATTTCCACAACCCTTGGCTCTGGGCCACAAATGCAGATGAGAAAGACCTCCTTACTCCCCCCCCCTACCCCCTCCCACTCACGATAGCAGAGAAACACTTTGGCTTGCCTTTGTGGTTTCGGCGGCGATGCGATGTGTGGCGTGGGCAGCCGTCTCTGGTGGCCGGTGATAGCCTGCCGGCCTCGCTTGATGCAGCTGTGCTTGATGCAGGCATTAATTACAAACGCGTGCTGCCACGAGAGAGCTGCTGCGGCCCTCGGTTCGATGATTGCTTGTGTCTGCCGTGCATCCCCCCCGCCCCCCCACCACCCATCACACTTTGCCTTTGTCATCTCTCTGCCTGTCAATCCTCCCGCCCTTCCTTGATTTCTTTTGTCGTGTTTCTTCTCATTGTTGGCGTGAGTGTCTCTCCCACTCTCTCTTTCTCTGTGCGTGTGTCTGTTTCTCCGTCTGCTTCGGTTTGCCTCTGTCTCCTTCTGTCTCTGTGTTGCCTTCTGTATGTACAGAAAGTGCATGAAGTGGCAGTGTTATAGTGGTCAGCACTGCCACGATCCCTGTAACTCAGGTTCCAAATCCTCGCTACGCTTAACACCGCACGTAATAACGGTGATCTGAATGGGACCTGTGCTTTCTGTAGGTTGACTCGGTCTAGAATTTGTATCGAGTGTGGTGTGGAACAGGCATCAGCACTGGGGATACAAACGTGGATGAGCGAAGGTTCCAGCCACACCACCCCTTCATGTGCCATGCGTGGCTTAATTAAGAGTACATACTTCACATCACCGTCTATTGAGCCTAATAAAAAAGATATCAGTATATATACATAAACAAGGGCACTTTTTATATTACATTCTATTGCACAATCCTGCTATTGCAGCATGCATGTGTAAGACTTACACAGCCATGTTTTACAGCCCCTATAGGAATGGAGCTCTTGATTAAGTAAGCTCGGAAAGCTGTAACAGCTACAGAAATGTTTCTTTTCAATTGCTCGAGTCTCCCGCAGAGTGGATCAGTGGAGCTTGTCTGGCACTGAAAGTAAGCGTATTTTATGATCGGGGAGCATCGCGTACTTTTCAAAAAACTCCAAATTGTAAAATGTTGTTACATTAATTTTTCACTCGCCACCCTTTGCACTCCTTCTTTCCTCCCTCAAGCCCTCCCCCAAACCCTGACCTCTCTTTACCCTGCTGTCTCTTGTCTCTACGGCCAGCGATATGGAAATGTGGTATTCCCAAATCTCTTGGGCATCATTTGGTCACGCTGTCCCAGAGGGAGACAAAACAATTAATTGATGTGCACATCTGACTTGAATTCGAGATGCGTTTTGCAGTCTCACTGGCACTTTATTCTTTCCAATTGACCCGTGGCATCTGAAATGAGAGTCATTCGGAGGGGATGTTTATTTAATGATTTTTTTAACCATCTCACCATGAATGCTGAAACCCTTATTGTATGTAAGTTGAACTTGTTTTGCACCGTACGTAGCCAACCGTGCTCATCGCAGGTGTGGGAATGAGTGTCAGTCGAGGCCATTAAATACCATTAATTAACTTTCCTGCCAGATATTTACATTAAGTAATCTCAAATTATCCTGCCATGCATTCATCCATCTTCATGATTGCGTTGATTCTTTTGTTTGGATATTTTGTCACTGTTTGAATGGGTCTATAACTCACTCATTTTTCTTGCTCGTATTACTTAAAACACATGGACATCATGGAAATTCACTTAAAACATTAACTTTCATCGTATCTGGCCAAAAGGCCCTCTTGACAGGGCACTCGACTCACACGATTGAAACTTTTGAGTTCAAATCCTGGTCATGGATTTAACCGGCCTGTTTTTTTTAATGAATCCATGTTGGACCAATTAAAATGAATACTTCATTGTGGGAACTATATATTTGGTCTTCCCTGTGGGGAAATTGTCCCCCGCCTTTAGAACATGGATCTTCTGTTGCTGGTTCAGAGCCGATCCCATTTACTCATTTTATCAGCGGGAGAGTTGGTTAAACACGTAGGCTTTCGCGACCAACATCATCCAGAATATGTTTTTTTGGGGTTAGATCTCATTTCTGGCTTTCGCCAGTAATTAAAGCTAGCTTCATCAGGCAACAAATCTGGCTGTCTGCCTGATGATGATGGTTGTAATTACTGGCGAAACGTACTCAGATTGTAAATGTTGTGGATTTGCTCTCCAACACACCGTAGTACTGAACTAGTAACGAATTGGCATGTTCTGTTTACGTGACAAACCTGACTAATTGGCTGTGTCGGGTGGTGGCGGGTTTATTGCTGCAATTTACATTTACGTGATCCAACTCAAAAAACCTCAATTACAGCGGGAGAGTTGCATTTATTTACAGTTCAGCTATGAACAAAATGCAACCAATTAGGTAATTGAGGAAAAACAATTAAGGGGTGGGTGTTGGCCCACTGGTTGAAGACTGATCGTGGCAAACTCTTACAGCTCAATTGGACTTTGCAGACCTTCCTCCTTGCCCTACTTTGCCTTATTTATCCCGACGTTTTTCCCAGCAAAATGAAAGTTTCGCGACACATCACGTATTATATGTCTCACTTTGAGATGTATCGGTCTCCCAGCCCCTATATGTAGCAGAGGTTGCAATCGGGTACCCGATACCCGTACCCTACCCGATACCCAGCTACCCGTACCCGGCCGGGTATGGGTAGCTGGGCCGGGTACGGGTAGCTGGGCCGGGTACAGGTACGGGTACCCGTTTGCGACCCTGGTGCGGCCAGGTACGGGTAGGCCATGAGTCACTGGTGAGTAACCGTTTGTCACGCATTTCCCAACGTCTTGTCTCTTCTCACAATTCAAGTTCCTAGAATCAACCCACCTGCGCCTGCAACATGGCTTCATCCCAGAGGTCGCAATCGGGTACCCGATACCCGTACCCTACCCGATACCCGGCCGGGTACGGGTACCCATATGCGACCCTGGTGCGGCCGGGTACGGGTACGGAAACAAAACCCGTTTGCGACCTCTGATATGTAGTGAGACCTCGCAGTCCAAAGAGAGACACGGTGCTTTTATTATGAAAACATTGCTTGCTCATTCCACTGCCGAATAAAGGGCCTCAACTAAAGGAAGCTCTAGAGAGCCCCTGTAGGTGGCATTTGACCTACTCTTACACGTTGGCCATACGTCTCGGAAGAGGCGAGAATACC